TGTATGCCAGCGTGCAAAAAACATCCTGGATTCGCCTCATTGTGACTTCCAGTTCCTGAAAAGTAAAATCAGGCTGAAGGATGGTTGCATCCTGATGTAAACATACCTGAACAGATGAGGTTCAGGAACAGATTAAACCTTTAAACCGAAGCTCTTTTTCCTGAAGAGATTCAGAACGGCACTCTGCATCCACACTTCCTTCTTCTAACTCTCTAAACAGAGAGTTTGATTCGATATGTCAACTTTATTTTCAACATTTTGAATCTTACCTTCTTGTTAGAGCAAAGAGGTCATATGTAAAGCTCTTTAAGATGAAGCAGTCTTGTTTTAAAAAGCAGACAAGCACTCAAAGCAGATTAGAGTTTTTATTCACTTTGACTTTATATTACAGTTGAGATGCAAATGAACAAATTTGGGTAATTAGACAGATTGTTGTTACAATTTAGTCAGTGATTCAGACTTTTTCAGTTTGCACCTAAAGTACTGTAAAAGAGATCGATGCACAAATGAGTGAAGGAAGAAAACAACAACAACGACAGAAATCATATGATATGCTTCATCTGACTGGCTGTAGAGTGAAGCAGGAATAAGATGAGAAATGTCACAAACCTGTGACCAGTGTTAGCAGACCAACACGCCGGTGTCATCAGGTTCACGTTGGGAACAAAGTGGACGCGATGTTGGTAAAGCTGCCTGCACCGAGACGCCGGGCCCCAGGGACACGCCCTGACTCGGTGAACGCAATGCCCTTCTGTTAGTTAGCCACGACACAGCAGGCCCAGAGTCACAAGCTGCCACAATGATCATGATCCAGATGTGTTACCAGAAAATAAGGCAGCGCTTAAAAAAAATTCCCGTAAACATCCTTTAAAATCAATGGAAATCATAAAAAAGAAGCAAAGTCAGAGAAAAGTGTCAACCTTTGCTTTTGCTTCACATTACAGTTCAAATACATCAGTTTCATTTACAAAACATCAGGATTTTGAGATTTTCCTTATGTCATGTGATTCAGGTGGAGTCATGGTGCAGAGGCGTTCACACAACGCAACAGCATCAATCACGAGCACCGCCGCACGCTTTTCCAGAACGCTGCCTTATATCAGCAGGGGGATTATTGCCATTCCAGGTCAAAGACAGGAGGGGCTAAGATTCCAAAATAAAAGACAGGAAGCAGATATTTCAGCACTGAATTTACAAGAGATAAAAAAATACTCGTTGACAATTTAAATAAACTTTGAGATCGTGACAAAAGGTCACATTTTTTAAGAAAAGCAGTCTTCAACTGTTCCTACTCGTTCTCGCCCACATCCAGCGGGGACTTCCTGTTCCCGGAGCTGCATCACCATTTCTAAAACGGCTTTCTTTTTTAATATCAGCCTCGTTACCAAGACCGAGGACCGCAAGAAAACCCGGAGCAGCTTTGGGGCCTGAACTTGGTGTGATACAGTCATCTGCAGCAGCTCCATCCTACCAAAGCACGAACAAACACAGAGCTGCCCTCAGCTGAGAGTCGTGTAAGAACGAGTTGGGACTCTGACGTTTGTGCCGTGGGCACAAACGTCAAGAGTCACGCACACAGCTTCTTCCTGCAATCTGAAAACTACCCTCAGGGAATCATCTCAGCTTATAGCACATCGTGTATTAATCAGTGCAGCACGTCCCTCTACCAGCCACACACACACGCACACACACACACTCCTCGTGCCTATGGTACGACAACTTTTCTCCGTGCCCCTGGGCAGAAACACCATGCCGCGCACACACACACACGATCCCTTCCCAGTTATAATGGCTGATTTTCCACTTGTTACCCAGTTAGAAGTTAGAAATGAATTCCTCACACGATCAACTTAAATCACTGGCCTGAGCTAACAACAGAACGATGGCACTGGAGTCATCACGACAAATCCAAACGTAGAGAAAAGCAGACGCGCGTCTGACAGGATGATGTGGCAGCTTGACGTTTACAAGGACAGAAGCAGCCACGGAGAAAGACGACGGGTCAACGCCGATGAGCTCGATCGTGTCGAAGATCAAACACGCCATGGCTGAGACGGGGAGCACGGGAGCACTAACATTAAGTTGTTTCTTACAGTAAATACCTGAGTTAGACATGTTTAGACAGCGGTATGAACAACAAGTGTGCAGCAGGCCTCATCCCTGACTCACGTCTGCTTTCCAGCCCTGTTTAGGAATCTGACGCCACACTGTAAACATAAATGAATCCAGTTAAGCCCGTGAATGATAAGATGATCAGGAAGTGTAGCATGAGCGGTGGAGCTTTAGGTAGTTTACACACAGACTGCATAGAAGTCACCACAATCCTGACCCTGTGAATCCAGGAAAACAAAATCCCTCCGTCTGCACAGCTGACAGGAAACATCAGGACTGAGGTGGTGGATCTGCGGTCTGCAGCTCGCGCCTGAAGGCGAGACACCGCAGAGCCGTCGGCAGCGTTATCAGAGGTGCGGTCGACACCTTTGATCATTTTACACTACGTGCCGTCACAGTTTCACTGGCCGTGGCGTCAGATACTCAAACTGAGGTCGCTGAGGTCAGGTGACCGTGTGAGCATCAGTGAGCTGCAGACGCGGTGTGTGGGGTCCTAATGCCTTCATGGATTGGTTAGTGCATGT